TCTCTCAGAGAAAGAAGATACTTTTAAATATCAATTAATCCTAACCAAAATAATACTGGCATATCTGGTTCTTATTCTAAATCTTAGACTACAATATTAATGGCAATATTGTACTAGTCTTCAAATCTTGGTCTTGAAAATATTTTACTGAGATGAAATTTTACTAAATGATTGAATTCTATCGCAATATTAACTAAAATATCTTTAGCATCTCTATTCTTTGAGAAGCAGTTTATCAAGCCAAGCTGGTTTAACTGAATTTGATAGTTCCTCTATGAAATCTTAAAAGACAGATCGTCAATCTCTCGAATAACTTACCCATAGGATCTTGAATATTTGATGTTATTATATTTGATGAATTCTTGTATAGAATAGTATTTAAGAGATTCATCCTAACTTCGGCCTCCCATTCTTACAAAATTTTTTGTATATTTTTTAATCAGGTTTAGAAATTGATCCAATGCATGATTTGTATAGCAGACTAGAAGTATTGGACCTTTCTCTTTTTTCCAAAATTATTTTGTTTCCATTAAGATTCTAACAAAATGCTCACCTACATAAGTTTTACCTGTTCCAGGAGGACCTTGGATAATAGCTAGCTCTTTAAACATGCAAGTATTTAGAGCAGCAGCTTAGTTTTTATCGAAGTTGGCTTTTTGTATGCTTTTAGTAATAGCTTCAAGAAACTTTACCCTTTTATTTTAATCTTAAAGTTACTAAAAAATGATTGGTTGCTGAATATCTTTCTTTATTTAGCCGGTTAAATAATCTGCAAAGGGAAGGTTTTCCCATTTATCAATTAACTTTAATTTTTTAAGTACATGATTGTAGGATTCAAAATAAGCAGTTGATTCAATTATTTTAAGCTAGTTTTCTTTATGCTAAAGATAAAAATCTAGAACTGGAGATTCTCTTTCACTGTAAAGTTATCTCATATATTAATCATCATCACTATCATCAGAATCAAACTGTTCTATCACTCTATTTTAAGAAATCTCATTTGATATATGCTGAACCTTTATTTCAACATAATTGTACTTGGAGGAGGTGATTGCCATCTTCTAAGCATCTCTGTCACATACCAAGAAGAAGTTAAGAGTCTTAAAATTATCCTTGCTTAATATCATCAATGAGCCAGGTAGTAATCTTTTACTAGCATTCCAATTCTATCTTCCTTTCTCATAAATTCTTAGAGTAATTGCAACATCAGGACTATTTCTAGTAAAAGACAAGTATTGCAGATAAGCACTTTGGTAAAGTCTCACTCCAGCTTCTCTTAACTATCTATTCAACTGTTTGATTTGTTAGTAGTTATTAAGCTCTGGGGATTACTAAGGTTTAAACCTAAAATTTTTATCAAAATGCAACAAATTTTACTCACCTTTTCATAACATCGATTCCTTCTCTCAATGGTCTTATAGCATCCTCTCTAAGCAACCTGTAAACGATATCTAGGTAATCATGAGTATCATCGAAGTCTCCTTTAACAGGCATTTGCCTAAGAAAAGGTTATTGACCTGATATGAGTTCATGAGAAGTTGGAACAACATCAATATCTTAAAAGTTATCTTAAGGCTTAATTTTATAGTTTCCACCCTTCATTTCTTCTTGCATTTGCTTTTTCTTCTCCTCTAATTTTTTCTCCTCTTCTTTAAAGTCTTTTAAGTATTACATTCTCTTCTCTAATAGTTTAGTAGCCATTTCTTGAAGCTACTTTACCTAATAACCATATATATTAAGTATGTCGCAGGACTCTTAAACAAGCGTGACGTCATCCTTAATAAATGATGCAAATACAGGAATAGGAATTTTTTGAATTTTAGATTTAAACTTGTCTATCAAGA